TCTTGCTACCTCCTTTCTCACATTCCACCTGCAGTAGTGTCCTTGAACAGCTTAGCTTGCAGCTTGCTCAGGCCCTGCTAGCAAGGCTGGATTGCTCACATGTCCGTTAGCAATCAGAAATTCTCCCACAAGGAAAAGTCCACCAGTGACTTGAGAATCATCACCCCCTTCCTGAACCCTGCTCCTGATCAATTATGTATGTAATTTATACATAGATATACTTTATAATTATAAGTACCATTTTATTTAATGATAAATAATTCAGTGCTGAGTGATCTAACACTGAGCTCAGGGGCAGGAAGGCACAGTAATTAACAGTGGACAATCACTAACGAGCAGAGGTGAAGTGTGCCAGTCCCTGCTTTGAATGAAGCACAAGAGAGACACCAGTGACTTCATTTCCCTGTTCTCACTCATGGTTAGTAACATGACCCTGAGAAATGACAGTAGAGCTTTATCTGACAGGTGAGAACAGCCTCAGTGTGATGCACTGCTGGGCTTGAAGCACAGCCTGCACAGGGGAAAACATCCAACAACAGCAAGGACCAGGCTGCAACAAGTCACTGCATCCCACTTTAATGAAGCCCACGTGGGTGGCACATGCCGGGGCTGAGGGCACCGAGGCTGAGGGCACTGCGCAGGCACCCACAGCCCCTGAGGCAGCTGGTGTGGTTTATAAAGCTGTAAATATGCCAGAGAACATCAACACAGCACCCACCGGGGCAGAGCAACAGCGGGTGGGTCTGGAAATGGGAATTTGGCCACCCCAGGTCAAACTCAGAGAGTATGGGAAAGATAATCCCTGAAAGTGCTCCAGGACAGGTTGCAGCAACCTGGGTTAAGTGGAAGGTGTCCCTGCCCAGGGCAGGGATGACACTCGAGGGGCTTTAAGAGCCTTCCAACCCAAAGCATTCCATGATCAGAGTGAAGGCAAGGTGAGGTGGGTAGGAGTTTTGCTTCTGTGCACTTAACAGCACTCCAGGAATTTGGATTGAGAAGGAACACAGGGTTAACGTAGAGGAAGGGGAAGCTGATAACTTGATCCCTGAACTCCCTGAGAGGCCCTGGAAAGTGCCACTTGGAGATCTGAGTTAACTCCTCATTAATTTTTCACACTATCCCATAAAACTCATTATTCCCCCTCACAAGTTTTATTAAAACCTCCAATTCCTGCTCTGTTCCTGTAATTGAGGTGCTCAAGATAACAGGAATTAGGATTCCACAGTGAAACTCATGAGAGAGCACAGAGCAATTAAAAGTGTAATTAAAATATATTCAGATAATTACCACAGCCAGAAAAGACATCTGGATCCCAATTTGCATCTAAACTTCTTCATTTCAAATCATCTTGGGTTTTACTGGACAAGCAAAGAGCTCACGTTTCATTAGGATAGAGAAACCCTAACCAGGGGCTTTTATCCATCATTTACCACTACTTATTAATTAGTTCTTGGGGATGCTGATTCCATGTGACAGCTCCAGCTAAGCTGGGCAGGAGTCACTTGGGGATTTAAATGAGAAAAAGACAAAGTGTCCCTACAGGGCCAACAAAGCAGCAGTCCAAGGGTTCTCTTGGAAAGGAAAAAGGAAGGTTTTTGTTTAAGCAAACCTAGATTCCTTTTTCCTGGGATGTTTCCATTGTCCCAACAACAAAAGCAAAGCTCTGTGACTCAGGTTGCAGCACTGAGCACTGACTTTATTACCCACACTTGGATGCACATGAAGCAGGAAGAGAACCCGCTGGGAGCCTTTCCCACCAGGAACTCCAGGGAGCAGCAGGAGCTCCTGGCACCACTGGCTGCAGCAGGGACCAGGCCCTGCTCCCTGGGGTCAGCAGCCTCCCTCTGTGGGAGATTTGGCCAAACAATCCCCAGAGAACTTAGTGTTGGAGCAGGAGGCTGTGCGGAGCCCCACAGAGGGGTGAGGCCATGGGAAGCCGAGAGCAGCCCCAGGACCCATCTGGGCCTGGGGACAGAACAGCTTTGGGGACATACACATAGACTTGAAAAGAACTCCACGTTTATACACATGACACTGGATATTTACACCTGAGGCTGGGGATGTGCCTGGGACTGTCCCTCAGCTCTCCATGGACTCCACATTGGCCTTGCGCTTCTTCCTCTCCAGGATCTCTTCATCAAACATTTCTCTCTCCCTGGAAAGAGAAACGTGGAAGTTTTTAGATGATCTGGACATCTTTATATAACCTGATCAAGTGTTGGATCTCTGATCCAACTGCTGGTTTGGAGTGTTGGAGGAGCTTTGCCAGAATGTTTCCATGTTGGATCATCTGTTCCTGTCTCTCACAGGATGACGCTGAACTCTTCCATACAAACAGAAAACCAGGAACAAAACTCCAAGGAATACTGGAAATAACCCCCACCTTTTGCTCACAGAGGGTCCTTTGATGTACTTCTCTTCTGCCTTCTGGTAGTCAATGTCATCCACAGCAGCAATCGCATAGATTATGGCCTGAAACAGCAATTAATAATTAATTGCTAACTATTAAGCAAAGCTAAATCACAACCTGAGATTGGAGAATGAGGTTCCTCCATGACTTGAAAACTTGGCTGAAACTGTCAAAGTATCCAAAACAAATAGCTGTGAAAGAAACCACTGCCCCCTCCACAAAAAGGACCAAGAAAACCCTGAGAATTGGTCAAATTCACACAGAAAAAAACCAAATGAAGCTTTAGAGAGTTTCAGAAGTAATAAAAATAAACACAAAAGTAACTATTTGCCTTTAAAACATCAAACTACCTAAACCTTCTCCTTTCTGTGCTTAAAACCAGCATTTCAGTGGCTCCGGCTGTGGATATTCCTGCCCAGCTCAGCTCTGGGAACTCTCCCCAAGTCATTCCACATCAATGGAGTGTGATGGAGTCACATCACACCACAACAATCAAGGATAATTAGTATTGTTATTCCTTTACAGTTACTTTTCCCAGAGTTTCACGTTCACTGACCTCAGGCAACAGCACATCTGAGATGAACTTGATGCTGTCCCCATGGACCTGGTGCAGGATTTTGGTGTCCATCTCCCTATACACTTCCTTCAGGTAATTCACCACCAGGTCCAGCTGTTCCTCATCCTCCAGGTATGTCTCCACACAGGTCACGTACTGGCTGGAGTTCAGGAATTTCTTCAGCCACCTGGACTGTTTCCTGCTCTTCAAAATGGCCAAGAGATGTTCTTCAGCCCCTTTTGTCTTCACAATGAACTCCACCAGTTTCTTGTTCTCCTTGTCCCTGGCAGCTCTGGTTCTGTCTGGGAGAAGCTTCTTCAGGGGCTTCTGGGGGGAAGTGTCTGAAGAATTTTCCTCAACTCCTTCCTCTGCTGCATTTGGGAAGGTCATTTGGACTAAACTCTGATAGCCTCCCTTCCTCACTGGGGAGCCTGAGAAAAAGGCCACAATCCTTTATATTTCCATGTACAAAAGGCTCTAACATCCATAACCACAAACACAACTACAAAGTAAGTTTCTCATACAACTACAAAATAAGGAACTTTATTGATAAGAGTTTTTCTTCCTTCTGTACCCCAAAGGTTAAAAAAACCTCCACCAGAGCCCTAATTTGCCTTATAAACCAGAGATTACAGAGCTGCCACTCTGACATGAACTCTACAACGTGAAGTAACCAGTTACAGCTCAAACTACACTCTGATTCCACAACCTGATTGCCTCGAACCACCAGTATTTATTTAACTTAATTAAAATCTTAATTGCAGTAATGGTGTGTTGTAAATTTAACAGCAGATCCTCTCTGGGTCTGGTGCCAAACTCACTCCTGCGTAAATCTTGGAGATAAATTTATCCAACAAAGAGGAAAAACAGAGAAAATGATGAATTTGCTTACTGATATCAGCAGCAAAATATTCCAGGAAGGATCCAGTAAAGGAATGACAACCTGAAACCCAAAACAGGGTGATTGATCAGTTCCATTTAGCCCAGGAAACAAAGCTGATCGTTTGGGGTTACCTTCTCCTGATGGAGCTCAGGATGTCTGCCCAGAGCAGCTGTGGCTGCTCATCCCTGGGAGTGTTCCAGGCCAGGTTGGACAGGGCTTGGAGAAACCTGGGCTAGTGGAAGGTGCCCCTGCCCACAGCAGAGGTGGGACTGGATGGACTTTTAGTTCCCTCCAGCCCAAACCATTCCAGGATTCCCTGATCTGTGCTGTCCTGAGCCCTAGGCTTACCCACTCGGATGCGATAGTCGGAGATGAGGCAGATGCACCACTCGATCTCCTGGCGGTAGTTCTTCTTGGCCTGTTCCTGCAACACAACAGCCCTTTCACTCCCACAAAAAGCAGCTTGGGAAGAGTTTTGGTCTAGGACACCAACCAGGTGAGAGAAACAGTTCACGATAATGAATCCAAGTCTCCTTGCAGTAAAATCAACTCCTGGCAGTGCTGCCACGGGGATGAGAGAGGCTTTGGGGCCTGTGGAACACCCACACCACAACACAGTCTGAGCCCCAGCACCTCCTGCCCTCCACCTGCACAGGGACTGCCAACAGCTCCCTGTCCCTGCTCTCCACCTGCACAGGGATTACCAGCAGCAGCTCCACTCAGATGGAAAAACCTGTCAGGAACCTCCTTCCCACATTATTTCCTTGAGCTATGCTTAATGACTCTGAGCAGAGCCGTAATCCCCCCCAGGCCCACCTGGCCCCACACTCCTCCCCTGCTTACTCAGAGCCCGTACTTCTCAATGTGCTTTCCCAACACCTGCAGTTCCCTGTTCCTGGGGCACTCACTATGAACTCCTGCTTCTCTTCACAGTCAAAGTGCTTCAGGTTCTTCACAGACACTGAGAAACTGCACAAAACAAGCGAACAGTTAGAGGTGCAGCTCACCTGCCTCTTCTTCCTGTTTACTGCAAGCCTGCTTCTCCCTGAAAAATCCATTTCCCAAGGAATTCAGGAACACAGGTTTTTACCAATTTGGGTTTTCAGGTTAAGCTAAAACTATGGAATCTTTTGACAAATGAGAAATGCTGGTTCAGGACAAAACTAAAGGCAGATTGCATTTGCAGACAGAATGGGCAGCAGAGGTAAAATCTTGGCTGTGTCCCAGCTGCTTTGTTTTCAATTCCTCAGCCCTTCCCACAGACACAGACCTGCCTCGACCTGCAGTATGACAAAGCACCAGCCCACACCTGCCACCCTCACCTGAGCTGCTCCCTCCCTCCCTCCCAGATTCCCTGCAGGAACAGTGGCCTCTCCCTGCACCAGGAAACACACATAGGACACCCCAGAAATAGAAACTGAAAGTTCAGGGTGTGATCAAAATGCACATTTACCCCTTTTTCCTCTCGTTTGTGGTGCCATCTATGAAGAGCACACAGGCCTTCCGCTGCTTCCTCTTCACAGCTTTCACCTGGGGGCAGGATA